TAATAAAAGAACAGGCTTTCCAACGATGTAAAAATATCTCTGGGGAAATAAATGATAGCTGAGCTACAGTCCGTCAAAAACCTCAATTTTTGACCTTGAAGGTCAATCGCCGTAAATCAAAACACCGAGAAATCTGCAAAGTTTATTGCATATATCAACTACTTTCTTCTTGAAATGTTAGAAATCATTCAACAAATGTTGTAATTTAACTTTCTGAAGGTGCTGCTTGCTCCACAATGTGTAATCTTTTAGATTTGCCACATATTGTAACCGGACTGTCCATGTCAGAGAGCTTTATAATGCAAAAAGTTGCAAGTTAGCCCGTGTTTATCATGCCAAGTTCAAATACTCTTGTATTTTATGATCTTAGTTGAGTTATTGGTTATTCTGGCTGTTATTTTTTGTTTACAGGTGATCTGATCGAAATAATTCTAGCTGTTTTTCGTTCAAAGTTATCATAACTTGTGCAAAAAAACCTACTCACTAGGGTAGGGACGGGCAGTATTTCTTAAACCACAGCCTTACGTACGCTAGAAAAATATTTCAGCCAAAGATAATTCAAAGTATAAGCTTTGCAAGAACTCATTAATGAAAGAAATTAGCCAAGAAAAACAGAAAAAAATGTATAGAATACGAGCCTGGGTGGCCGCGATTAAGATCTCTTAGTTAAATAGAGTGTCATGTGATAGTGTGACGCAAAACATTTTGGTATCTGGCTTCAATAGTTGTAAACATTAAAACAATATGGATGCTTATTGTTCTTTTAAAAGTATAGTAGGAAGTAGTTGCGGTTTGATTCAAAAGATCGAAAACAGAGGACGAAGATTGTGCCATTGCATTCTTGCAGTAAGGATATCTCAAAACACTTGAGTTTTTCTGGTCCATCAACCGCACATATTGGCAGTCGTTTTTGAAGGRAAAAAATTGTAATTGATTTTTTAGAGTGGCTATAAAAACGATGCAATCCTTTGTTTCTATCCCTTTAGAAGCAAACTATCCAAGGAGTATCCAAGTCCTTGAAACAACTCGCCAAGTATCGCATACATAAAAATAAATAGTTTAATTGCGGCATTTTATTTTCAACAGCATGATGATGACGTAGTCGTTAGAGATAATACTRCAATCAGTGAGACATACCAGTCGCCTCCAACAGTAACAATTTCCAAACCAGAAACACCATATTCCGTTTACTATTACCAGCAAGACGTCTGCCAATATGTGCGGGTTTCCCTCCTGTGACAGGCACACCCAAAGATTGCCTCCCAGCCTCACCACACCACCCTCAGAACCCTTACCCTATCCCAGACCAATTTTTTATGATTTTGCATACCCTACCCCAGACTAAAGGTACAAATTGTAGACCCTATCCCAGAATAAATCTAAAAATTGTTGTTACAGACGATCATATCACATCTCGTTAACAAACATGACTGACAGATTACTATTTTAGCGCTGAAAACGTGGCCTAGCAACTCTTATGTGATCTTATAATGTTATTCTTCTTATCACTATTCGGTCTTCCTGTTTTGAACGTTGAGACGGGGACAACCCCACCATGTTCAATAATAATTTCGCTAGAACAAAAAAATCATTCCCGTGCGGATGAGGGCTCAAAGACTCAAATCACACTATTGATCTGAAACAATAAGAAGAAAAAAAAAACAAGCATACAAATAAAGAGAACTTATTTACCAAACCCCGTTCACCCTTTGGCCAAATACCTTTTGTTTTTTCCGTGGCCTGATATTTGATGGGGAACTCTGCATCTTGTTCCACCACCTCTTGTCCAGCTGATTCCAAGTGAAGCACGATGGYGAGGACRAATAGTCATGGAGTTAACTTTATCGTCTGAGGTGCAATACAAACCAACTCGAGACAAAATGAGATCAATTTCATTTTCTGGACCAGAAAAACTCATATGACACCTGCTATTGCAACTAAAAGAGATCTTAATCGCGGCCACCCAGGCTTGTATTCTATACATTTTTTTCTGTTTTTCTTGGCTAATCTCTTTCATTAATGAGTTCTTGCAAAGCCTATACTTTGAATTATCTTTGGCTGAAATATTTTTCTAGCGTACGTAAGGTTGTGGTTTAAGAAATACTRCCCGTCCCTACCCTAGTGAGTAGGTTTTTTTGCACAGAGTTATGAACGGAAAATCGATCAGATCACCTGTAAACAAAAAATAACAGCCAGAATAACCAATAACTCATCTAAGATCATAAAATACAAGAGTAYTTGAACTTGGCATGATAAACAYGGGCTAACTTGCAACTTTTTGCATTATAAAGCTCTCTGACATGGACAGTCCGGTTACAATATGTGGCAAATCTAAAAGATTACACATTGTGGAGCAAGCAGCACCTTCAGAAAGTTAAATTACAACATTTGTTGAATGATTTCTAACATTTCAAGAAGAAAGTAGTTGATATATGCAATAAACTTTGCAGATTTCTCGGTGTTTTGATTTACGGCGATTGACCTTCAAGGTCAAAAATTGAGGTTTTTGACGGACTGTAGCTCAGCTATTATTTATTTCCCCAGAGATATTTTTAMATCGTTGGAAAGCCTGTTCTTTTATTATTCTACAAGCAAAAAATTATTGGATTCAGAGCTTTATCGCATGGTGAAAATTGACTTTGAATTGAGGTACTTGAAACTATCCTACAAACATGTGTTGTTTTGGATTGAGTAGCTCGTCTTGAAAAAGTGTCTCAAATTACGTGATTGTCACGCTAGAGGACATTTAAGAGATACTAAACAGGATGTGCAAAGAATAATTCGATTTTAAGACCTTTTTGTAGTGAATTTTCGTTTATAAAGTCAAGACTCGTTTTAGCGTGAAAACGGGCAATTTCGGGCGATCGACTTATACCGCTATTTTCTCAAAAACAAAAAACTATTTTCCTTAAAAAACTATATAGCGTTTATAGGTACATATTAAAGTTTGTTTGGACAAAATTTCAGCGAAATCGATTTTTCACCCGTGGCCACCAAATGTTTGATATTTGTTGACATGCCCTCTTAATAACACTGCAATTTCAAGCTTTTAAAACTTTTCAAAAATAAATTCTTAAAAAACATTCATAACATACTGATGTACAAAAATAATACCTGCATTTTAAGCAAATGTTTGGTTTTGAAGGTGAAATTGATATTCCTTTAAGGTGGTGTGCTTACCACTGATAATACAACATAATCACAACTAATCATGGTTGCAAAAACTTTAAATTCATAGCCCAGAAAATGAATTTATCTTGACTTCATTTGATAATACATAAACAAAAGAAATATGGTTCATTAAGAATCACATTGAATTCATTGATGGAATAAAAACATTGCACATACACTAATCATTGCATTGGATGTGATTCGGAACAGGGTAGCCTTCTCGTTGACAGCTTTCAGCTTGTTTATTAAGGCCTGTTGGTCCTCTATTTCTTGTAGTTCTCCTATTGACCGCTGCAAAGCTGCTCCATGTTTGCCTACCAAGTCATTACAAGTCTGCAGGTCTTCTAGTTTAGAGCTCAAAGGCTTAATATCCTCAAACGGCTCCTCCTCCTCTTCATCTGCAAGAGAAAAACAATGTCAAATATTATGGATTCATGAATACATAAAATATTGGACAAGGTGTTGCATGATATATCCATTGTACATTGGTTAGTTATCTTTATCCAGGTGACCACAGACCTGTGATCATTCGAAGTGTTGAAAATTTACCATTTTCAAGTGTACAAAAAATCAAGTGAATTTGGTTCACCAACTAGCTATATAATGTTCGTGAAAATCTTCAATAAAAACATTTATTAACATATAACATGAAATACTTTCACAATAAATCAAATTAGTGCTAAACTACAAATTATGCTGTAGTTTATTTATCACTAGACATCTCAATCCCATTGTCCAAGACTGCATTGGTTTGACGGGAGTAGTGTGCAGCCTCTCCGCCGAGGACCCCCGCCCTTTGATATTAGGGAGTATTATGTTAGCAAACTATTTCATGGATGTTGTCAATGCACTATTTATTACATGTAATTACATTTTTAGAATGAAATACACTGCTCATTTCATCATGGGTTTAGGAAATCAATTGAGTTTAAACTTAGTTAATGGATGAAACCTAATGGATAAATTCATGAAAGCATTTCAACTACTAATTTAAATATAGTTCACTTCTTTATATTTCTCATAGGTGTTTCCCTATAGCCCCAATTGCAAGCATGGTTAGATCTAAAATTGAATACAGGAAAGTCAACACTGTTTAAATAATAGTAATAAAACAAAGGATACATGATCTAAGGACTGCTACTTTTCATCCTCTGAAAATGTTCATTTTGTTTTACACAGACTCTAAAATACTTAAATTTGAATGAAGAGGAGTTGGGAATGTCTTTTGATTGAAAATGGAGTTAAGTTACACAGTACAGTTCAAGTATATTTCAAGACTTTGAAGACATTTAGTTTACATTCTGATATAAAAATATTCAATTTGATTTAAACCTATTTGAAGTTCTTCACTTTGAATATGCTATGTTACATGTCTTCATACCAATATTTACAGTTTCTAATTATTTTACTTTCACAAAACAATTCCTTTTTTACCAAGATTTAACCTTTGAAGCTTAAATATAAGTAATCTAAAGGACATGAGTGTTTTTGGAACTTTTTTGACAATGCATTTAACAGCTTCACAGGTCTTATGCCTTAGAAGTTGTAAAATTATCATTATCAATTCATGTAATTCATGGATCCCTATAATATCCACATGGTTTATACACTTAATACTGCTTAAAAATGTAATGTCAGGAATAGCCAAACTCATGAAGGCACTCTAACTTGCAAATAAGCTTCTTTCAGCAGCAAGAACATTGTACTTTGTAATATAAATGTTATGGACGTGTTACCTTTACTTAAACACCATGAGAATTTTCTGTTTTTCTTTGGCTCACTTCTTGCAGGACACTTGTCACTGCTGGCACTATCACTCTGAGCCTGCACCTTAACAATCTTTAAAATGAACATCACATTTCCGCAACAGAATCAATTTTGTAAATGGTATACAGCTACCATGATTCATAACCACAGATTGGAATTACTAATGTAAATCAAAGGACAATGTTTTTTTCCATTAGATACCATGTAATTATTGTGTCTCCAGATATTGTTGACATTACGGTAAACTCCAACAATGCTTGTCACTTCACATAAAAGAACTAATATTTATAGACAGTTGCAAAACAGAGCACTGGGAAAATATTGATCAAATTTGTGCTAGTATAATTCCCATTACAAACAAGATAATCCCTTTAGCTGGGAATTTACATTTTGTGGTTATTTTATGTGTTATTGCACAGGGAATTTGTATCTTGTATCAATTATGCCCGAGTTAGCAGGTACCTGCTGGAAAGTGATTCAAATAGAACAACAAATAGCATTGACAGAAATTTAACAATGAGAATCTCCAAATACACTATTAGAAACCAGAAAACAAACTCTAAGGAATAACAATTGATGAATTAAAATATGAAACTTATTTAAATCAATACTTGGTATTGTAAATACATGAGCACTGCAATCAAACTGGTATAGAACAGAGGATTTCTATATTTTCTCAAATAACAACTTTTCGAGTATTATTCTTGGATTTAAAGTGCACAAGAGTGTAACATTTTATGGCAGATATTGTCTGGGTCAGTGAATGCCAAGTGAAAGTCACCGAGCCCTGTATTAGTCCAGTGTTTGAACGTCTGGCACAACCCAAAAACATATTGACAGCACTAAACTTAACAAATCCACCATGGAATCTTGGGATTTGATGGTTAACCACTGGAATAAATAACAATTAAGAAAGCTATAAAAACACTTTTTACCTGATAGCTATCATGGAAGTCTTGACTTGAAGCTACAGTGTACTTAATTTTTAAGATGAATTATCTCCATAGTTTAAGCATCCACGGAATACAAATTAAATATTGACCACAAGGCTAAAGAAATAGATGACCCAAGAAGGCAATAACAATCTCAGAGATTACTGTATGTTGACAGAATAGCACATGCTGTGTTTATGATTGGCTGATTATGACAAGTGCCTGTCATGTCCTGTTGCTAAGTGACTGGTTCCATTGATAGCTGTCTATCCATTAGATTCCATTCATTTGAAGTAATACTTGCCAAGGTACTGGACAAATGTCAAATGTCCACATAAACACTAAACCACTAGACAGTTGAAGTTGAAATAGAGTCAAACGTATTTGCTAAAGAGTTAGGATGACCCTTGAGATACTAGAACTGTACATGTATAAATAATTGTACAAGAGATTTTTCATTGTCTTTATAAGACATTTTAGTGATTATAATAATCACTTAATATCTCTGGAGGGTGCATTTTAATTCACACCAAAGAAGGATCATTTTACCTTGATATTTTCTTGTGAGGATTATTGAGCAATAGTTATCATGTATTAGAAATAGTAAATATTATAAAAATGCAACAGCTGTGCATACAATGGTTTAATCTAATCACTGAAGTCATCAAAGAACATAGAGGGAAAAATAACAAAAATGGGAACATCTCTCCATGCAAATAGGTAAAGATTTCATTGCTGATTTAAATTCAAATGGATATACCAGTCAGTAATTTGAAAAAATGGAAAATAATAATTGTAAAAAATTAAAGAGAAGTATTGAAAGTGTTCTTGGAATACACTGATTTGAAATTTTTATAAAAGCAAATTAAATTTTATGCATGGTTGAATATCTCCATCTGCAAAACTTTCTTTTGATCCTTAATATATGAACCAAAGGTATAAGACCAGTAAAGAACAAAAGAGGAGATTTTGGTCAGCCCTTTAAAGCACCCTTGCATTAGACAGATAGCTACAAATAATGGAAAAGTGCTGTATTTTTGCCATATTGCCTTGACAATGTTATATATTAACTTTTGAAAGAAAAGATGCATAATGTTCTAAGAATAGTGTATGACTGTGCAAATGCACGGATCACTGTGCAGACATAACACAGCACATGGTCATATAACCTCACCTGGTAGTGACCAAAATGAAAATAATGATTCAAGAATACATTACTGCTATAGCACAGAAGAATCATGACGCAAAGTGCTGTGTAATACGAAATCTGCTCCTAAAGCATGATTGGATGTGCAGTCCTCGCAACACTTTTTTATGGCCATTGAAATAATCCCCAAGTACTTGTATTTTTGTAAAAAAATAAAACACAAAAACTAGTGGACATCATTCAGAGTGAGAGCTATAGACATTTACTGCTATTCTTTACAATCATAAGATAATGGTATTGCTGAACATTGTCTGTCATGTGATGTTTCCTTTCAAAATGACAAAAAAGCCTTTTAGCAACCCTAGCAACCAAGGTGAATCAGAAATAATGAACAATTACAAATCATCAGCACMAAATAATAGCACTTRAAAACAGGCAAAAGTCTTGGTCATGTAGGAACTAACACTCATCCCATTCCTTTTCATTTCTTCAATTTACACTCTCGGTTGGCACAGGTACTCCAATGTACAAATATCAAAATTTCAAGAATAAAAGATTAAGAAACTTAAACCTCGTTTTAATTTGAAGATGCATGGAGTGAATTTAAGTAATAATTCAGTTTAGAACCTCAGTATTATAGTAGATAAAGTAGTTCTTTTGAGCGCTAGAAAAATAACTTCTTGATACTTCCCAGAATTTTCCACGAAAACGTGAGGGCAGATCATATACTGTATTTGAAAATACTTAAGTATAACAAATGATGCCTCGTTATTTCCATTGTAAAGTAAAAATTAGAAATACAATCAAAGTCTGCTATGTAATTATTGCTGCGAAATTTCGATTTGATTTTGGTCGAATAGTAAACTTTTAAGCTTAATTTTCCAAAATTTTTTTCTTTTCACTCTGGCTCAGGACAATTTAATATGAGGTTAAAAACGCAAGTATAAGCAATTTTCCGCTGCATTGATCACAAACCTGATTCAAGCATTTTAATAGCTTTTGCTTTTGCCAGTTCAAGTGCTGTAACCCATCGTTGTCTCTCCACTTCGCTAGATGCCCGAAGATGAAAAACTTGGGTGCCGCCATTTGAGATGACGAAACTACAAGCGTCTTCAGTGTCGATAAAAGCGCCGGCTAAATTAATAGTCCCACGACATGTATGAGCCATTTCGGCTTGGCTCCTGTGAGATAAATAAACCCCAAAATGAATGCGACAACGAATAAAGAAAATGAAATTCGCCAATTTGTACTGTCGGCCATTGATGGACTACAATTTTGATGGTTGATCACCATCGTACCTGTAATATGATAATAAGCCATTCGACAGAACAAACCATCGCCTTTGATATCCCTTTATGTAGTTAGTCCACTTAAGCAGCCATCCCCTGAAATGATCAGGGCAAACTCGGCCGTCAGGCATTCTGTTATCGTGTTTTTTCTTTACATCTTTTACTTGAACTGGCAGATCAATAATCGTGAATCCTTCGTACTCTGTGGCCATAATCACGTGACAATACGACCGTGAGGATTTTTCAGGGACCTGGACAGGTATATCCAAAACAAGACACTTCAAATTTGCCAAGCAAATTGCTCTTATAAATGCATAAAAGAATGAAGGCAAAGGCAAAATTTTTCTTTATTGGAAAAGTTTCGCTTTCCATTGTTGGCTTAGTGTTTATGTAGCCAACCGCTGATCTGACCACGCGTCCGCTTTTCGCGTTTGCGCAACTTTCTTCGGTCGATAAAGTTTAGAATAGAGTGCTTTAATAATATGTTGCAAGACAAAGCACGTTTTTGTCCCGCACTAGAAATTGAACACGCTCAAACTACCTTATCTTAAGAATTACATGTTGAACAAAGCAGAGAAATAATTAACTAAAGCGTTTACATAAATACTAGTACATTATTGTTGAACGTGGTTTATCGAGTCGATCGAGGTGCGCGTCTTCAGATTCTTCGACTCAACAAGTGTGCTTTGTGTAGTTAAAATTATTACCATTTATCGATATTAGCTATACACAGACTAACGTTAAAATGGACAGTGTACCGTAAGATAGTAATAACTGAACAAATCGCTCCCCCAAACATTCACAACGAGACTAGTTTACTAGAGTTCCGTTTCATCTCGGCCAAAATGGTACCATCTCTTCGCCTATGTTAAGTCAGTTTGTTCCAATGTCAACGAGCAGAAATTCAAACATTTTATCATCGATTATAATGATATTACGGCAAGTACATAAAACCTACTTACTTTGTTCTGGCTCAGTCTGAATTTCTACATCGATAAGCCATGGACACAGAGCTTGGCACAACAGAGCAGTTAGCTCGTCATTCATCATCTAAAATGGCAACACTAGAATTTTCTAAATTTTACAAAAATCACACGACATTTGACTACAAAATGTTATTTGTTCAAATGACATAGTTGAGCTAGAAATTTCCTTATAAAAAAGTTAGACGTCCACCTCTTGTGTTATGATACGCATAAAGTATAAATCCTTGGAATACATTAGCGTGGGTACCTGTCAATCATTAACTTGGCAAAGCTGCATTTCCGGAAAAGGACGTTTTTAAATTTCACCACTTCCGGTTCACGCAAAAGTTCCCTTCGCAAATAATTACTGATTATATGATAAAAAATAAACTTCCACCTATAATATTAGGTTTTCCGCTTCTACTGATTTTCGAGATGATATTTGTAAGAAGTTTTGATAGCATAGTGAGGTCAGTGTAGGTCAGTGTAACGTTCCCTAATTCAATTTTCTATATAGTGAGATCCGGAGATTTCTTGGCAACCTTTCATTTGCTCTTGTGTTTCAACGAAAAGAAAAAATATCATGACGACAGATTGATTTTTCATTTTTCATTTTCTTTTATTGTCTAGAGTACTTCACACATCTTTGGGTTTCCTGTGGTTAGCGTTCACGATCGAAAAGTGGAATCACTCTGGAATCATTCTAATATTTCCCATTTATTGCGTTTATGTACCTTGCAGCCATATGCTTTTGTTATGGCTTAGGTCGTTATTCATTTATTCACAAATTTTTTACCATTCATCTTGTTGACCTGCACAACTAAATTAGGCTGCCCTTGATCAATTTGCGAATACCATTTTTGCTGGTAAAATATAAAAGGACATTCGCACTATTCTTATGCCATCACGTTTTGCGCGCACTCCGACAAATAATTTGCCAAAAGTATTCTTCATTGTATGCCCTCTAATTTAATACTCGACATCCCTCGACATCGTAAATTTTGATGTATTGCTCTCAATTCATTCGAAAGGCTGCATTTTCACCCGAAAAGGCGTGACCTTGAACCGCAATTGACCTTAAACTGGCGGATATGAAATCGCGACGACGATATTTCATTATGTAGGTTTTAAATTGTCCGTTTCGCCCAATTCGCTCTCAACTTCTTCTAGCAATGCTTTAGCGTTTGGGTTTCTTTCAGCGGCCTTTCGGTACCAGTCCCTTGCTTTGTGTAGATCCTTATTCAGTCCAAGTCCGTTGTAATACATGTTACCCAAGTTGATCTAAATATCAAAGAAATAAAAAAGTAAGCAAACTAAAGAATACAAACAAAAAAAAAAAAAAAAAAAAAAAAAAAGAGAGAGAGAGAAAAAAATAATAAAAAAGAAAGAAAAAATATATGATAGATGGCTGATAGATGGAAAAATGATCAGGGTTCAAAATAGCAGACAATTTCAGCGTCCTTGCCGGCGATTTTTTCGTCATAAAAAGAATATAGAAATAAACAGACTTATGAATTGCTGTCATTAATTTAAAAGCTTAACTGAATTTTACCCTAGAACGCTCAAAACGCTGTCAGTTGGTGGCTAATGAAAGAGAAAAATATTGAAGTACATACTTGTTATTTCTTTTTGCTTTGTTCTCAAATGGATGGTTTTTTTTTTCTCTAACTTTTTCACAGTCTCTGAGAAACAGTGCCAAGAGAAAGCAGAGCAATTTTTTTATTAAAATCATCTTATAAGTATCCTGCAAAAAGTAGCCACACCCCAAAAGCCTTCAAATCTCACGGCAATTTTTCAAAATTATTTTGAGCCCTGATGATTGAGATGAATCAGTGATGAAACATTGAACACTTAGTAAACTGTAGAGCGGTCGACGTCAAGAAGTAAAAGCTGCAAAAAAAGGTTTACGAACCTGTGCAAGTTCAAAGCCCTGCTCTGCCGAAGCTTGAAAAGATTCAGCAGCCTTCGACATATCTAACGTTACACCTTTACCAGCGAAGTAATGAACACCAACATTATACTGAGCAGCGGGATGTCCTTGAAGATCAAAGTTCTTATCAGTACATATACTAGCTGGTAGCTGTGCCTCTAGAATCGTTGTTCGATTCTAGATTAGTCCAGTCCTGACCTCCTTTCGACCCGCTTAAGCACTCGCTCTGTTTCCCTGCGTGTCCTGGATCGGGTCGAAAAAGACGCTAGGACAGGACTAGATTCTAGATTGGCTTTGACGTTTTTAGATCACGACAGAACACAAGTCCGTAGACTTCTTTGTAAAACGAAAGACCTTGGACCCTGCTGCATGTGGAGCACCAGCAGATGTACTCTAATATAAACTTATATACCTTTATTTGCCGCCAGTTGATGATATTCAAACGATTTCTCCTGACTTTCATTGACACCATCACCATGCCCGTAACAATATGCCAGGGCCATAATACAACCTATATCCCCTGAAAAACCATAATTATAAACATTATATATAATTAAGATGTCAGAAAGGGGTTGGTAAGGTGTCAGGTGTAGTTGCTAAGGTGTCAGTGAGTGGATTTTAACGTGTCAGTAAGTGGTTGGTAAGGTGTCAGTAAGTGGTTGATAAGGTGTCAGTAAGTGGTTGATAAGG